GTGAGCACGGCAGCTTCAGGTGCTCGACACAGGCAGCCCCAGCTCACACACCTGAGGCTGCCCCGCGCCGAGCACCTGAGGCTGCCGTGCTGATGAGCGGGGCTGGCTGGGGCAGGAGGAGGAGCATAAACAGGCCCGTCCTCACCAAGGTGGTGATGAGCAGTACGAGAAAGGAACATGCGGGAGCGGAAGAGCCAATGGTCTTGGGCAGCTGAGACAAGCTGTCCATGTCCCTTGAGGGCTGGGAAGTGGGGCTGAGGCAGTTGACAGCCAGAAAGTGACGTGGCCAGGAGAGGAGCAGGGACGGGTGGCGGCTGATGCCTGCAAGCCCTTGTCCAGGGAGCAGAGAAGCAGAAAAGGCTGGTGTTTTAATAAACCTTCGCAGTCTATGGCCATGCCACCCTGAACGAGCCCGATCCCGTCCGATCCCAGAAGCTAAGCAGGGTCAGGCCTGGTTACTACTTGGCCCGACCTAGGAGACCACCTAGAAAGATCAGGTGCTGTAGGTGTAAAAAATTAAATAAGGGATTGTCAGATGGCAAGATCCTTGCCATCTGTGATGTCAACCAAGGGTTACCTCGCCTAAGAAAATAAAATAAAAATCTTTGCAAATGCCTATAGTGCCGCTGGGGGACGTGCCATGAACACTGGCTGCCCCAGCAAGGGGCACCCCCCCTACCTGTGCTGAGGCTGCACACCGGCTGGCCACGGCATGAAGCATCAGCTCAGTGCTGGCTCAGGGGGGCCGCGACGACCTACTGATGCAGGCGTCTCACGCATTTGTCACACAAGGAGGGGACACTTGGCCCACAGGACTGGAAGATCCCCGAGATAAACCGCAAGGCGGAGCACCTACTTCAGACCAGCCCGGGGGACGAGCGAGTGTCTTACGTTGTTCTCCAGGCCCTCGAGGACCTCGATGCCGTTGTGGCTGAGGTACAGCTCCCGCAGGTTGACCAGGCCCTGCAGCCCCTCGATCTTGGTCAGCCGGTTGCTCTGCAGGAGGAAGAGCCGACAGCCGTCAGGACTGCGTGAAGGGTGCAAAATAGAGCAGCTTTTAGGAAGCGGGGCTTCTTAAAGAGTCCTGACAGCAGGGCACTGCATTTCAAACGTGCCAGGACGTGACTCACGCAGAGAGAGGCATGAAAATTCCGAGTCTGCTGCACTGGGCTAAAACTCACGCTGAGAGTTAGAGGTTTGTATCTGAACTCTTTCTAGATGGACTTAGCTCTGCCTCGATTAACTTAGTATTTTAAAAACATCATAATTACGGAATATTTTAAAATAAATTCTCATTTCTTTCAGCACATACTATAACTCAAAGCATGAGGCCCCCCGCTACCCAGGCCCTGTCCAGAGCACCCCACCACATCCCGCCGCCAGGGTCTGATTCCACACCTGGCTTCCGACAAAAAAGGTCACGCGAGCCCAGGCGTGTTCAGGGCTGACCAATGAGCAAGGACTCGTGTCCACCACTGCGTCGAACGCCTTAGGGGCACCTGGGACGAGCTCAACCTTCTAAAGCTCTTTTGCCTAAAAACCACCTGGGACTCATTAGGAAAAGGAGTGTGACCCGTACTGAGAGAAAGCTTAGCTTGACGTGGGCACATGCGTGGATGTCTGTGGCCACATGTGGAACCCAACGTTCAGATCGCTCGGTGCGGTGGCGTGCTGGTCAGGGACACTGAGCTAAACCCTGGGGCTGTGTGGCAGCTCTGGCCCGGGCCGGGAGGCGGCCATGCGAAGGTGGCGCGGTACCTGCATGCTCAGGACCGTCAGGTTCGAAAGGGCGTCCAGGTTCTGAAGTTTAGTGATCTTGTTTTTCCCCAAAAATAAACTCTCGAGACTGGTTAATGTGTCGATATTTTCAATTGCCTGTTGAAAGGACAGAGCAGCAGTCAGCACTGTGTGGCCAGCCAGCTCCCCAGGGGAAGGGAAGGTCCCGGGCCAGGAGACAACGCTCTCTGAAGTTTAGCCGTGGAATGTCACGTGGGTGACTTTTCCACTCTGGAAGTTTTCCAGTGGCGTCTGACTTGAAAGTACAGTGTGGAAAAGAGAGAGAAGGTGGCGGGTCCGAGGCCTCGTCTCCAGGGCTCGGCCCAGTCGCCCGAGTTCTGGGGACACGGCGAGACCTGTGGACCAGATTCTCACGTCCCTCCCAGTTCTAAGTTCTGAGATGACCCATCACTATGTTAGTCTACACAGGATTCGTGACAACGCATTCCCAAAAGCCTGGGTCTCGAGGAGAGATGCCTGCTCGGGACCGTGGCGCCCTGCACGCCTGCCCGTGCTGCGGTCCTGAGCCCCTCTGTGGCATGTGTGAACCGCAGGGCGTTTCATGAACGGTTACTGACTAGATCTCCATTCCCCCCGAGTTCACCGCTGTCAGAACAAGTTAACTACCACCTTTCAGCGGACACTACGTAAGCAGGATAGGCATGTGCTCACACAGGGGGGACCCTAGGAAGTGCATGGGGTGCATCTCATCTGCCCATCCCAGCAGTACTCGGCTGGCAGGGGGTCTACGAAGATGAAGACTCAGAAGGAGGGCATCCTGAACTGCTACTGCCCGTGTTAGTGCGTGACGAGCCACCTTTCCCCCGCGACAGTGTGCAGAGAGACACTTGGTAAATGCTGACAGCTGGCTGCGCTTGTTTTAAATGTGCTCTCTGCTACCTGCGGTCACGTCACCGCTAACAACTGGCATGAGATGCTCGTCAGAGTCACCCTCCCTGGGTGCAGCCTGCCCAGCTCCAAGGGCGAAGCTGGACTGGCTGCAGTGCATGGTAGCCTGCCAAAGGCAGACGGAGAAGCGCTTCCAGCACGGGGTGGGGAGGGAGTGTTGGCCGCCACTGGCCATGGGAAGCGCGGGCATGGCACTGTGGTCTCACTGGGCGGCTGGTGGACAGCGAGTGGTCTTCCGGCTGCTGGCTGGCCCATGTCCTCACCCCCAGCCTGCTGGGCCTCCCCCTTCTCTGCTGGCGGCTACACCCTGATGTCAGCCCTCTGTGACCCCCTCCCGAGGTCCCCTCCACGGGCCCTTCCCTGTGGCTGACTCAGCTGGGGACACCTTCCCCAAGTCTAGTTTCTACTCTGCTGCTACTCTCAGTAAGCGGCAGGGTGAAATGCTGCCCCCAGGCTTCCTGCGGCCCCTTGTGCAGAGGTCAGGCCATGGCGAGGCATAGACTGCTCGGACACGCTCACCTCAGGTGGGCTCGCCAGAAACGGTTAGCACGTGTGGAAGCGAGGCGTTTGGGGCTGTCGCTCACCGTGGGCAGAGCAGACCTGGGTGCTCTGCTGAGTTCAGGTCATGACGTGGGTGGGGAGAGTGAAGTCTGCGTGCAGAGGGAAGGCCGGGTCACCGGTCCAGGCACACGTTCTCACTGATGCTGACCCCTGGCCCCACTGGCGTCCAGGGGGCACTGCTGCCCGCCTGAGGCTGCACCGCACCTGCCCGCACGCACCTACCCGGATGCGGTTGGACCCCAGCTCCAGCATCTGCAGTTGGTGTAAGTTGCTTATGTTCTCAATTTTATTGATTTTATTGTTGACCAAGAAGAGTTTTTTTAGTCGTGTCAACTTGTCAACCCCTTCGATGTTTCTCAGTAGATTAAAAGAAATATCTAGGACCCTGGAACAAACAAAACATTTATTTTTTAACGAGCACAGGTGGCACAGAACTCAGAATATAACTAATTTCTAGGTGGCACCCCACCCGGAGGACCACTCATCACCCTGGCAGTAGGACCTTGCGGCTACCCAGGGACAGCTGGGGGGCAGCCTAAAGGGCCCCCCCACGCTGGGGGGCACGGAGAGCGCCTCTGAGTGGACCAGCCAGGAGCCTTTCAACTTGCAGGTTGAGACTGTGGGCAAGCCTATGCCACCTATGGAGCCAGGTGTGTCACAGGACCCTATGGCCAAATCGCCCCTCAAGGGCCGAGAGCCAGGGCGCAAGGTCGGGTCTAGGGAGACTGGACTCACTCGAGCTCTGTCAGCGCATCCAGGTTCTCGATCTTCTTAATCTGGTTGTCGTAGAGGTCCAGCTCTCGGAGGCTGTGCAGCTCCTCCAGGTTCTCGATGCACTTGATCAGGTTTTGACGGAGGCAGAGAGTCTGCGGGACAGAAAAGGGTGGTTGACGTGAGCAACCGGCAGGGAGGCCACGAGCAAGCACCAGCTGCTACGGGACGGGGAAAGCCACGGGGGCGAGGGGTATGCAGTTTTCGCCCGTTGTTTTTCTAGAGCGGGGTGACTTTGCAGAGGATGGCAGATGCCACGGGGGCGCAGACCTGCTCGGTGAGCGGGGCCTCGCTCAGGGTTTGGGGTGTGCGCAGATTCCTGGCAGAGTGAACCCCCTAGTGGGCTCTTTTGAAAACGAATTTAACTCAGCGGCCAAGGGCTGTCCGGCGCAATGTGTGCTTGACGCAGGTGGGCTCGGGGCTGCCCGACCTCGCTCTGTGCCCTGCTCAGATTCAGGGCGCTCCGGGCGCTTCCGGGTGAGGCCCGATCCCCAGTGGTAGATTTACGACACTTGCGGGGGGTGGGGGGCGCGTCGGACGGTGAAGCGGAGTCCCTCTCACCTTCACTTTCTTCAGAACCTCGAACCCTTCAATTTTCCCGATGCGGTAGTGATTGAGGTCGACGTCCTGAAACGAGGGAAACCAGCTCAGCTGCAGGGGGCCTGCAGGCCTGCTCCCCAGGACGGGAGCTAAAGGAGGCCGGCTAGGTGGGGGAGAGCAGGTGAGCCGGTGTCACAGGACTTCTGTGGCATGCAGGTGGCAGTGGCATGGAGGCCAGCTTCACGGTGCTCTTGGTTTAGCTCTGACTTATTGTAGTTTTAGGTCAAACTTGTACAAACCAGCGCTGTGCAAAAGCTCTCTCTCAGCACCTAGCTCCCCTGAGCACGAACATAAGCTCGGAGATGCACCCGGCCGTGTCGGCGCCGGGCACCCCAGGGTTGGTTGCTGCCCGCCCGCAGCTGCTTTCAGACCGGCGGTCAGGACCCCGCCATCTACAACGTGACCTTTGACCCAAGTAACTTATGAGTCAAAGGCGTTTCATTTGCCACAATGGTTGACAGAAACGGAACTGCAATCACAAGCATCGAAAGACAGGTAAGAACGCAGGAATCTGACTCAACCAAGGAGTTTAGACCTCTTCCTGGCAGGCACTCACTAACGTGCCACCCTCACAAAACGGGACCTGACGGTCAGGGCGGCCTGTCGGCACGGCCTGAGCGGGGCTGAGCAGGCAGCATTACCTCTGCATCTCTGTCCAGGCTAATGGTGTCCATGTCCACAGGCAGCTCTTGTCCTTCTGGAAAAATGAGAGAGAGAGAAAAAAAGAGCCCATTCAGAGCCCCCGCTGCCAGGAGGTGGCAGCCCTGGCCTCGGTCAAGAGCTGGCATGCAGGCCAGCTGGCTCGGAGCCGACTCGAATGCAGAGGACAAACCAGCAGGTAACACACGGAGGATCTGGGTGACATGGGAGGGTCAATAGCCCGGTCTGACAGTGGTCACCTCTCAAGCATCCTGAGTTTCCTGAGTTCAGCCACCGGCATAGGTCTCTGAACTTCCACCTGTGCTGCTGGACATCCCGAGAGAGGGCAGGTGGCCTGAAGCCGCCTGCAGGAAGGGGCGGGGAGGCCACCACCACCTTCTGGTGATGCCGAGCTGCGGTGGAGGCGGCACGCCCTCCCAGTTTGTGGCAATAAATCAGGCCATCTGACTACAGACCATGCTGGGTACATCAGATGTCCCGAGATGTACCTGTTATCACTTTGGAAAGCAGCCCAGCATCCAAAAATGCTCCTCTCTGCAAGGAGCAAGACCAGACGATGCACAGCACAGCACACAGGACAGAGCACCGCGAGGACTCAGACAGGTCTCGGCAGCGGCCAGGGGCTGACTCCATCTGAGGGCCCGCTAGCTGGGGAGCCGGCCTTGCTCTGGCCCGTCCCACTTGAGCAGGGCGGCAAGAGCCACCCTGGCCGCGGAGGGCCCAGCCTCGAGCCAGCGGCCCCCTTTCTGCATCTCATCTGGATCTGTTTATGCACACGGGTCTACAAGGACTCGGCATGTTAAGAGGGACAGTAATTCTCGATTTCGCCAGCTGTCTTAGGGTTCCTCCTCTCAGTCTGCTTGGATTAGGACCTGCGTTGGATCACATACTGTGGCTGGACGGCGTTTCTCTGAAGTCCCTCTTTGCTCTTGCAATTTTTTGTTGAAGGAGCCGGACCACCTGTCTCCTGGCTGGAGCAGGGGCTGTGGTCTCTCCTCTACATCATGTACGCTGGTTGTCACCGTTTTGCCAGGCTCCTGCAGCTGCCTCTTCCCTACGGCATGGCTGTGTGTGCTCCAGTGGCAAAGCCAGCCGGCAGCCCGCCCTCCCGAGGACTAGTTGCCTGTGTGCTGGTCAGCCTGGCTCCCGGACTGAGGCCTCGGAGGGCGCACTGGACACATGACCAACTTAATAAGGAAGCACTGGCCCCACTCTAGCTGAATTCACTTCAGTCTTTTACTATGCCTTTTCCAGAATGATCAACAGTGGCTAATTAAAAAAATGTCATTTACTACAATTTATCCATAATCTCGTAGGCTATCAACGGACCTAACAAAAAAGCTGAACAAAATCAAGAGAACTTTCCAAATTATCTATCTTCTCCCCCAAAGACCATACAAAGCCAACATCGTGAACTCAGGAAGTTGCAACAAAAGAGGCACTTCATGAAGGCAGGGTGCCCGCGCCACTTCGTGCCCAAACCAAGACATTACGAGAGTAAAAGCGGGTATCATGCTCATCCGGGCCAGACGGTGGGAACGGGGACTGCCCCGGGCTCCTAGGACACGTGGTCGTGTGGCTCAAGGGGTTTGTCTGTGATGCGTCCAGCACGGACGGGCTCCCTAGAAAGTCGGCTTGCCCTCTGAACCAAAGTCACCAGCGTAGAACACCTTTCCAAACGCATTCTGATTGATCACACTTTTCTCATGTGAAAAGGTAACAGCTGACAAGTTTGAATTTGTTTTATTTACACTGAAGACTTACATAAGCAGTGGTAGGAGCAAGTCTCGGTTTCTCTACGGACTCACAAGGATGCACAGCCCGAGGGGAGTCCTAGCTGGTGGTCTGGGGGGAAGAACGCTGGGTGTAGACCAGCCAGGTCCAGCGCAGCTGTTCTGCTGTGTGGCCGTGCTCCCCTGTGCTCACCAGCCAGGAGTCCACGACAGGACCCTGTGACACTCCAGTCCTCCGCAAGCACCAGGAGTTCAGATGTGAGGATGGGGCGCACCCCCGCCCCGGCTGGCTTTCCGGGACGGAGGCGGACAGTGGCGAAGGCTCCCATCCGCCACTCCCCGCACTCATGGCATCCGTGCCTCCTGCAGAACGACGACCGAGTCACGCACTCGGCTGGGGCTTTCGTGCTGACCGCCTTTGACTTAAAACCAGCGTGCCAGAGCGACCGATCACCTTCGCTGGCACAGAGAGCACACTGTCATCTTAAAAATCTGTACATGGTGCATAAATTCGGAAAACGTAGAAGGTACGAGACCCAACTTGCTGTCAGAGACCCTCAGCAACAATTTGATGTGTTTTCTCTCTTAAGCAGGTAAAACCACATATTAATCTTCTTTAAATAAGATTTTAACAGGCGTGCTGTTCAGAAATTTGTTTTCGCCTAACTGTATCTCAGACGTCTTTGTTCGTATGGTTTCTCTGCTCGTTCTTTTCAACGTAAACTGACTCTAAGCAAACAAACGAACAAAAAGCCTTAGATCATGGTTGGGAAGTGTGAAAAATTGCCATTACAGGCCGAGAACTTACTTTTCTCATTTCTACATCCATTTGTTGTTGTCGTGCACTAAGGCAACAAGAGGCTACTGGGACATTCTCTACATACAAGGATGTTCCTAACGTCTGGGCCGTTGAGAAGACCGTCCTCAGGCCCGTGAAATGGTGGAGAAGGGCTCAGAAATGACTTTTCAACATGCAGGAGGGGCCGTTCCGAAGCGGTGGGAGGTCAGAGCAGTCAGCCATAATGTTCACTTCGAATCTCGCTTTCTGCACATACGCTCAAGAAAACAATGTTCCGGTTCTGTTCTGGGTGACACACTAGTACCAATGTTATTTTTAGCAGTGTTTGCCTTCGGTGGAGTTAGAGAAAACCACGTCCTGCCTGCAAGCGTCCTGAGTGAGCCGGCTCACTGAGGCGCCCTGGGTGGGCACCGCGCCCGAGGGGGCACACGCAGCAGCAGCGGAAGACAGTGGACAAGTAACCCCAGGAGCACGGCGGTTCTCCCCAGGACTGACGCATGCGTGCAACCCCGCCCTCAGCCACCCGCTTTAGTGAGTTCGAGGTTCTTAACTGGGCCTGGTACCTTCTGGGTCCTCTGCGCCCCGCTCCTCTCCGTCCTTCAGGCTGTGCTCGCTGAGGGCGGCCACGATACCGCTGCCCTGCTTCCTCCCTCCTTCATCGCCCGATTCCTCAGATTCGACTCGCCTGTCAACTGAACCCACACACATCAATGAGAATTTCCATCACCTCCGTGGGACTCCTGAAGAACATACAACAGCCTGACGTCCAGTTGTAAGTCACAAAGACGTCACGTAAAACCATCTGCTGAATTCAGTTCAATGAGCCCTGCAGTGTCTTCCACGCCCCATGCCCCACGCCCCGTCCGCGGGGTGCGGCGGCCAGAGAACTGGGCGGGGGAGGGGGTAGGGCAGAGCGGGCAGGCGCGCAGGTGTGAAGGTGAGCTCCGCACCGCTGCTGCGTTCCAGAGCCCGTGAACGGTGGCCGGGTACCCTGAGAGCCCGGGGTGCTGTGATTCAACACGCTAAAGCTAACACACAGTGCAGCCTGGACATCCATCCGCGCAGAGGGGCCGTTGTGACCCTTCTGCCACATACCTTCATCCATGCTCCACTATCCACTTGGCCAAGAAAACCAGCCCAGTTCACAGGCCCACATTCTGAAAGAAATCAAGACTAACTCGAATCAGACTGTGGGTGCGGGAGGTGCTAATAAAAAAGGAGACGTCAGCCAACAGTGCTCGATGCCCCACGTGAGGACTCGGATGCCAAACGTCAGGACAGTGATGCCAGGTCAGAGCTCTGAAAGGCTGCTACGTAAACAGCGTCTGAATTAATAGGGAATGATTAAATGTGGCAGACTTGTGAAAGTTCCCTGGCGAGTTGTCAGATAAATTTCTTCTCCTTTTCCATGACCTCTTGGAAGCCGGTGTGGAAGCCCCCGGCACTAACATCGGATGCCTGACTACAGCCTATCCACAAGGGCGGGGGGCTCGATGAGGGGAAGGGCGTTCTACCTCATCCTGTGTCTCCCGCTGGGCCTAGTAAGGAAGCACCCAGGAAAAGACTGCTGGACAAAACACGCCCTTAGGAAATCCACCTCCCAAACCCCCAAATCCGTTTCTTCCTTCCTGCCCCTGGCAACCGCCCTGGCTTGGCTATGTGTCACCGGGGCCTGGGCTCCTGCTGGGCCTCCTGACTGGCTTCTGCAGCTTGTCCGGCCCTGTCTACTTCTCCATCGCCAGAGAATCTGATCAGATTCTAAAATCCAAATCTGATTTTTGACTCCAAATATATCTAAAATGCCAGCAGCTTTTCCCGAGTTTGCATCTTGCCCCTCGAGTCACAACTTTGGCAAGTTACTTCTTTTTCTAAGCCTCGGTCTCCAAATCTACAGAAGGGAGCTCGTATAGTATCTTAGAAAAGGCACAAAAGCAGTTAGCTTTTAATAAATAAAAGCAGTGGACATCAGTTGTTGGTATCCTCCGCCTTTCAAAAGCTCACTTTATGCCACTTCGTTTTTAGGAAAGACCTATGTTAATACCTGTTTTCACTAATGAAAGAAATCTGAGGAGGGTTTTTGCTTTTCTGAAAAAATACGAAAAGAGGAAATGGTGTCATTTTGTTCTGCAGTGAGCCCTAATAGAGGCAGCGCGCACCCCAAGCAGAGAGAGTGGCTCCGCTAAGCTCCTTCCCCAGGGACCACACCCAGCATCTCAGCATCCAGTTGCCATGGCTTTGAACTGTATCTGTGAACATCTGTGCTTTATCTCCATTTTGTGCATCCATTAGCAAAATGTGCCCTAAGGTAATTGCTTCTTTGCTTTATGCCATCTTAGGTTTGAAAGGTTTCAAAGAAACACTCTACTTTCAGATAGCAGAGGAAACTTGCATTGCCGGGTACAGACACTCTGTGGTCAAGGATAAGAGAGAGTTCTCCTGGGCCATGGCCTAGTGCGGCCCATCCCAGGACGGCAGGGGCTTAGCTAGCATGAAACCTGGGACTCTATCCTGAGGGCCCCAGAGGGTCTGGGGCATGTGACAGAGGATCATCATGTAAGGTGACTGGGTACTATGGGCTGGCCCAAGGTATTGGCAGTCGGAATGGAAGAGGTTTGAAAATTTGGAGGTTTTAAGGATGTAGAAGCTTTAGAGCTTATTCATCGATTGGATAGGTGGGGCGGGAGAGAAATGCCTGGGTCTTCTATCTGCCATTTACCAAGACATGGAAATGGCTGTGGGGCGGGGGGGAGGGTGAGGAGGAGAAAAAAGGGAATAGGAGGAGGCACTCCCTTGCTTAAAAACACCTAAGAGTCTCAAAGTCCAAGACCCTTCAAGTGTTTCCCCGTCTATGACCTTCTCTTGGCAGCTGCACTGGTACTCTCCAACTTCATCCAGAATGACTCACCCTTGGCCAAACTCTCCTCCAAAGAGGCCACGTTCTTCACACCCCTTTGCCTTTGACTATGTGTTTTCTTTCGCCTGAAATGATCTTTGATCTTTCTCCAACCTGTCTCCAACCTGGCTGAACCTTTAAGGTTCAACTTGTTGCTGGCTTTGGTTGTGGAGCCATCACTCCTAAACATGTCAGCTCTTTACCACCTCCGCCCTCCGCTCGCTTCCTTCTCACCTGGTATTTACATATGAGACAGTGGCTGCTCTCCAGGACCTCTGTATCCCCCATGAAACCAACGGAGCTAAAAGCACATGAGCATTCAGATGTAACTGACTCTACAACTGTCTGTAAGTGTGAGTGTGGATATAATAATATGCATATAATTTTTTTCAACTAAATGAAAGAGTTTAATCTAGTCTTTTAACTGTGATAACTTTGCAAAAAAGGCACCCGCTGCTCTACCACAATCTCTCTGCTCCTTGTCACCCCTTCCTCACAACCCATTCGCTTCCGAGAAAACCCATCTCTACTGCCACAGCACTAATGACCCAACTCGGGCAGGTCCCACGGCGCCCTGCGTCTGCTTCATCCTTAGTCGCACAGTGACCGAGGTTCAGTGCGAGGCTCTAAGCAGCTGGTGGACGCCGGGACCGCGGGACCACGCGCCGTCAGTCCTCACCCACTCGCCCCGCTGCTCTCTCCTCCGCCCTGGGTCGGGCGCCTCCCGGGCCGCCCGCGCCTTCCGCGCCGCTGCAGCCTCCGCCCGGGGGGCTCGCGAGCTCGGGGGGCTGCCTCCGCCCCCGCCCCTCCGAGCCTGGTGGCAGCTGTCAGAGGCTGCGCGGCGGAGTCCGGGCCGCGGCCGGAGGCAGGGCGTCCCGTTTCTTTCGGGAAAGGCCGATGCAGGCTGCCGTCCCCCGCCCGCTAAGCCATTCGGTCCGCGCCCCGCGAGGCCGCTCACCCTCCATCATCTCCTGCGACTGTTGCTGGCCCGCGCCGCGCTCCGCCGCCATGTTGGCTGCTGTTCCCTTTTCCGGAATCTGTCGCCTCAGGCCCCTCAGCCAATCAGGACTCCAAGCTCAGGGCTTACCCAGCCAATGGAATCCCAATGTAGGGGCCTGAGCCTCTGACGCGCCTGCGCGCCCCAGCGCCTCATGGGAGTTGTAGTCCACCCGCGAGGCTGCACGCGTCCTCAGTCCCCGCACCGCCCACTCCGCCTTCCCGGGGCAGGTAATTTAAAAGCGCCCTGGAGGCGTCTGGAGGCGAGGAGCTGTTAGGAGGACAGTGGCAGTCGGGGCTGCATGCACAGAGCAGTGGCTGCAGGGAAGCGGAGAGGAGACTCTGGGAGACGCTCTGGGCTCGTCGCGGGTCTCCGCGTGGGGCTGAGCAGTGCGGGCCTCTGGGCCTCAGTGGCTGCGTCTGTGCAATAGGCCGGCTCTGTCCTGGCGCCGCCGCGCGGATTTAGCCCGTGTGAACGGGCTGCTTCCAGTTAACGTTCAGCGCAGGGCGGGCTCGGCGGGGACGCCTGCGCTCGTGCTGGGGCCGGGGGCCGGCTCCGCCCGTAGGTGCCGGGAGAGCGGGTTGGGGCCCGGGACGCGCCAGCCCACTGCAGGCGCCGCAGCCTCCGTTGGCCCTCGGCCCCGCGGGCGTGCGGTCTCATGAGGGAGCCATCCTTGCGACCGCCACATTTAGGGCGAGGCTGCCGAAAGGCGAGCTCCGCGCTGCTCACCCTTCTCGAACCCAAGGCGGGAGGGAACGGCGTCTGCGGAACCCGGCTGGCGGAGACGCTGTTGGCTCTCTTTTGGCTCCTCGGAGGCGCCGTAGAAGACTTCTAGTGCGTCCTTAGCAACCGTTAGCGCGGGCTTCTCCGCTCGAGCTCAATAAGTCCCGCCCACATGCTCCAGTGGTTGGCCTGAGGGGCCTGCCAATCGGCGTGAGTTGCTTTGCGATTGGCCGGTGGGGCTGGAGGCGAAGATCGGCTTCCTTACAAGTGGGTGAAGCAAGTCTGGCCTCCGACTCTTGCCGGCCCCAGGTGAGGTACTTGCGCTCGAGAGAGAGCCGGCCCGGGCTCCACGGGATCCCGCCGCCCGGGCCCGGCTCGGCCCTCAGACGAGCGAGTGCGAGCCCTGTGCTCCGCCGCTGCTCGCCCCCCTCGGTGAGGCTCCGGTCCGGGTGGCGGCTCGCCGTCTGCGGCCGTTTGTCCCGCGCCGCGCCCTGGGGCCCTGGGCCGGACCTCCCTGGTCCTCAGTGTCTCCGCCTTAGCCCCATCCCGCCCGGCGCGCGGTCTTCAGCTGGAGTTAACTGTGCTCTTTCTTCATTGTTCTGGCTTGTCCTCCCGGAAGGTGAGCTCCGGAACGGAGGCTGTCTGCTCTGAGCTGCGGACCGTGCCTGGCTGCATAGATGAGCTTTTCAGTAAATGTTTGTGGGATGAATGCGTGAGCCGCGGTGTGCAGTGCCCGGCTTCTCGGCATCTCCGCTAGGATGCCCCATGCGTCCCCGGGCTTTATCCTTCATCTTATCTTCACCAGTTTTTCTTCTCCAGAGAATGGCAGTGGCCTGAGCTGAAAACTTGGGATGTGGTCTTGATGCCTTTCATTCCCTTACCTTCCACGTGTCTTCACCCAGTGACTTGGCTGCAGTTCTTCGTCGAGTCTTCTCTAATGGGTTCCCCTCGCCATCTTTCTGCCATTGCTTTAATTTAAGACATCATAATTCCTTGCCTGGAAGGATGTAGCTTTGGGGCCCCCCGACCCCCCAGCGACCTGCTTGGGCAGGCATAGGGGCTCTGGGAGTTAGGCCCAGCTCCTCCAGACCCATCTCCACCTGCTTGCCTGTGTATTAACCTCCTCCCCAAGGGCGCTGTGGGCATCTTTGCCCTGTGGTGGTTCTGCCTGGATGCTTCTTCACAGTGCCAGACTCAGCTCCGCCGGCTCTCCTCCAGGAAGCCCTTGCTCACACCCTCCATTCCAGCAGCCATCATCTGGGTATTGTTTAGGGTGCCTGATGCAGGAAACAGACGCAGTCTCAGAATGGCTCTGGTGGTGAATGAAGCAGTCGGCCCCCAAACCTGAAGTGCAGAGGAAGGCAGGTTTTCGGGCGGATTCATCCGGTGGCTGAGAAGGACGTTCTTGCCGCTTCTGCTCTGCTGTCCGTGGTGCTGGCTTCACGCTGAGGCTGGTTCTACTTCCGCTTTACAGCGTGTGGGAGCAGTTTGCCTCCCAGCTTGCATTCTCGTGGCAGAAGGATGGTTGCTTCCAGAAGTTCACCCATAAGAGGAAGGAGCACTTTCCCAGGAGCTCCCTGCAAACCTCTCCTTGCTTCTGTTGGGTCTGAGGTGGGCGTCACGCGCACCCTAGGGAATCAAAACTGGCAACGGGAATAGGAATACTCTTGAGGCATCGTGAGATCCTCTCTGGGTTGTTTCCCATGGTAAAGCCCCCTCCACTCCATCAACACCTCCCCCCCAAACTGCTGTTGCTTTAAAAAACATTCTAAAAACCTAGGCCTGGACTTGCAGGCATTTCTGGTTAGTGTTTGACTCAAAATTAAACCCGTGAAAAAGGAAGTGATCTAAGGTCCGGTGAAGCCAGGCTCTGTGCTCTCAGGGGCCAGCCTGTGGCCATGGCGTTGGAGGCTCTGTGGGGCTCTGGTGCTGGCGGTGTGGTGTGCTGGGTGTGCAGTGCAGCACTGGGTGGCCCGCGGGTAGTGTGAAGCTCTGATCCCATCTGTGCTTTGTAGGTTGGTTGTAGAAGTCGAAAACAATGATCATGTCATTGTTGTTTATTGTAGGAATAATTAATGCACTTAAATGCTTAGGAAATGTAGACCTGTGACATTAAAATGTTGCTGTCTGAAGGAAAGCAACACATTCTAATGGTTTATTTAATGTCTTTCTAGCTTCCTGCTCATCCAGCTGTTGCTTTTCAGGATCGCCTGCTGGATAAAACATCTCTTGGTTCGTCAGTATATACTAGTTGATTCATACAAAAGGATAAACACAGTGTTAGTCATGAATCATGATAGTAATGTGAACTCATTTAAACCTACCACCCAGATTTGGAACCGGGGGACCCTGTGCTATTGTGTCCTCACCATTCCAGCCTGCTGGACCCGCAGAGGAAAGCTCCCGCCTGAAGTTTGGGTTTGCCACGTGTGTGTGTGTGTCCCTAAGTGATATATTTAGACTGGGGGCATATTATAAAAGGTAATCTTACTATCAATAGTTTTTTTGTAACTTGAGTTTTTTCACTTATAGGTCTAAGATTTATCCTTGTGTGTGTAGCATTTGTTTTCATTCTGTAATTTATAAGACGAATGTACAGAATTTAAAATCTATTTTCTTGCTGATGAATGTTTAGGTTTTTTCTTTTATCTTTTTTGTTGTCGTGAACCACGCTGCCCTGAACATTCGTGTGTGTGACTTGCTGCCCATGTGTAAGAATTTCTATAGAACATAAATCTCACAGTGGGATATACTGTCCCAGGAGGCAAACGTTTGACTTAAATTGTTTTCTAAAGAAATTAATTTGTTAGGGTTCACACTGAGCCACATCTTATCAACATTTGGTATTGTTTGAATTCTTAATTTTTGCTCATTTAGCAGGTATGAAGTTGTGATTACGATAACAAAGTTAAGCCTCTTGTGACAGGTTTTTTCGCCACTAGGGTCTCCTCTCCTGTGAAATTCTTACTCCTATCTCTTGTCCATTTTCCTATTGGGCCGTGTCTTTTAAAATTAGAAAAAAAAAAATACTGACCTTTTAATCTATCCTGGATATTAATTTTCTGTTACATATGTGGCAAATATCTTCTCCCAAATTGTGGCTTATTTCATTTTTTTAATGTTTTTTTTTGATGTGGGAACATTCTCAACTTTAATGTTAAATTTGTCAGTCTTAGTTAATAGCTAGAGCTTTTTGTGTCTTGTTTAAGAAAACTTACTCAACCCAAAGACTTATAGAAAGTCTGTCTAATTTTCTTCTAAAAGTTTAGTGTTTTGGCTTTGACAAAGTACATCTTTGGCCGTGGGTGTTTGTTTTTCTGAATGATGTTTCCATACCTCTGTGTCATTGTTCCCCATCGGGGCCGTGAGTTGCCCCAGCATTTTCATAGATTCGAGCAGCCCGTGTTTCTTCGATGGTAACTTACGCCCCCTTGGTCATGTGTCCGGTGCTGACAGGTGCGAGGCCCTTGGTTGGGCTCCATGTTGTTCCTTTGCTCTATTTGGTTATTCCTGTCAGTCACACCGACACAATGACTATGGCTTCGTATTGAGTTTTCACATCCAGTGGCTTGAGTGTCCCCACCAGGGTCCTGCTCTGTGGGTGTATTTCTTTGTCATTGAAGATCGTTCAAGCTTATCTCTTCGATGGTTCTCCCTCTCCATTCTCTCTCCAGCCAGATGTTAGGTTATCTCAGCCTTTATCTCTTAGCTTCGCTCTCACATTTTTACGTTCTTGTTTCTCTGTTGTATTCTGGGCTCTTTATTCAACTATATCTTCCAAGTCACAAATTTTCTTTTTGGCTGTAGCTGCATGCCTGTTTTACCCATCCATCAACATTAAAACTTAACTTATTGGGATATAATTTATAGACGTTCAAACTTGCCCATAAGTACTCAGCTCAGTGAGTTCTGAGACGCGGGTACAGCCGTGCAGGCACAAACACAATCAGGTTAGACGATCTCTTCATCCCCCGAAGAGTTTCCTCTGTCCCCTTTCTCGGCCCAGCCCCGTCCCTGCCCACCCCCGGCCCTAGACAGCCACCGCTCTGCTCTCTGTTCCTGTGACCTAGGTTCGTCTTTTCTGGGGTTTTATGTTACCGGCACCTACAGGGTGTGTCTATTGTGTCTGCCGCCTCATACAGCCTGACCGCTCTGCGACCCATGCACGGCGCTGTCTGCGTCACTAGCTCATCCACCTTTCCTGCCCAGCACAGCTCCCTCGTGTGGCTGTACCTCCCTTCGCTTACCTCTCCCGGCGACGGCCGTGTGCATCGTTTGCAGTGTGGGCTGTTGCGAGCGAAGCTGTTGTCCACGGGAGGCCGTGCGCCGTGCGCTTTCCCTTCTCTTGGGCAGGTGCCTGGGAGTGCGGTCACTGTGTCCTTGGGCGGGCGGCCGCTGCTTTTCAAAGTGGGCCCATGTACGCGTGTGTTCCCAGCAGGGATCTGTGATGTGCAGCTGCTCCACACCGTCCCCCACACTTTGCGTTGCCATTCTGTTTGATCTTAGCTGTCTTAGTGGTTGTGTGGTGACGGCTCATGGCGGGTTTCATTTGTGCGTCCCTAATGACTAATGGCGGTGATCGTTATCTCATGTGTTTCTATGCGATTTGTGTCCTTCTTTGTTCAAAACCTTTACCTTCTACCCCCTTCTTCAAAGACTGGGTGGTTGCTGTTCTTGAGTATTTCGGGTTTTCTAAGTATATGACTGTGTCTTCTGTGAATGGAGACACCGTTACGCCCTCCTGACAGCACGTGTGCCTCTTATTTTCCTGGCCTGTGTGCACTGGCTGAGACTTCCAGGGCAGTGCTGGCCAGAGGAGGCCAGAAGGTGGCCTCCGTGCCTGCCCTCACTAGGTGTGCTGCTGGCTGCAGCTTCTTCACACCTGCCCCTCACACCCGGGGCAGTTTTCCTGCTTCCCAGTTGTTGAGTTTTTTTTCTTAGGAAGGGGGGTGAGTTTTGTCAGATGCTTTTTCTGCATCAGTTGATAATGATAATGGGAGTTTTCCTCTTTAATCTGTCCATATGGTGCCTTGGGTGGACATGGCACCCCGGCCCTTGGACCCCTCGCTGCGTCAAGGCCAGCTGGCCTGGGGCTCCACGCCCTTGTTCTGTGCTGTAATTATGGAACATGTCTCATTGGAGGAAACTTGGCAATGGTCGCGTGGGACTTTCCTGTAGTTTTTCTTCTATCTGCATGCAAATCTACAAGTATCTAAAAACAAAAAGTGAAAAACAAAGCCCCGGTGCGGACCCGTCTGCAGACTCGCAGCCTCGGCCTCCCGCTGCGATGTCGGCGGGCGCTCCACGCACCATTCCAGGCGCCTCGTGGTGTTGGTGAGGCGCGTCTTGAGCTGAGGGCGTTTTCGGTGCACGTGGCCTGCAGCCCAGTCTCCTCACGGCCCTCACCCACTCCTCTGCCTGCTTCCCCCATCTCTTCCGGTGCTCGTTTCTGATAGAGCACCTGTCAGCACGACCTGGGTTCGACTGTCTCCAGGCCGCATGTGTCCTGGGGCCGAGCTCCATGCAGCCTCGGGGGGAATGGTTGGTTCGAGTACCTCTGTGTTCTCCGCTGTGGGCGTTGATCAGCGTCTCCTTGCTTTCCAGTTGACGATTGTCCCGTGGCCTGCCGTCTCTTGATGGAGGACAGAGGCTCGCCGGCCTTTGAAGAGGAGCAGTGGTGCCTGTGTGGGGACCTGTCCTCGCCAGCGCCCACCGAGGGCCCTGCTGTGCAGACCAGCAAGTCCTTGTCCTCGGCCCACAGACACCTGAACAGAAGGAATGGCCTTTCGAAACTCTGCCAGAGCAGGATGGCACTCTCCGGTGAAGACCTCCTTCTGGTTGTCGTGGGCGTCAGCTGTGACGACACAATGTGAAATCGCACATCTGTTCGGTTGGGTGCTGGGTGCTGGCTAGTGGGCAGTGCTGCAGGCCCTCCTGCCGTGTGCGCGCTGCGTGATTCTTAGGCAGGAAACTCCTTTTCAGCCGGCAGTTGGAATTCACCTCCAAATTTCAGGGTCAAAATAGAGCGAAGTGTTATTTCTCACTTCAGAGCTTGTGGGGACACTGTCCTGGCCTGGGCTGCATTACAAATGACACACGGTTTGGCTAAGTGGTTCAGCCAGTGTGTATTGACCGCACTGCAGGCTCACGCGGTCCTCCGACGTGGGCAGACTAGATGGGGTGAGGGCAGCCAACTTCACAGCGTGGGGGTGGTGCTCTGGGGGCTGGGGGCATCTGCTGCCCACCCGCTCACCCATTGCTCCAAGTCAGCCAGTGCCCCCAGAGTCCGGACACGCTGTACCCAGACACAATGAGAAAGACAGCGTCACTCGGGCCCTGAAGGGCTTGTCGCCTGGGGGTGCTTGAGGAGACAGCAGCGGCACGCTTGGAGCTGGCCAGGCCTGGAGCACAGGGGTCTGTTAGGACAGTGGGGAGGACTGGAGCGGGAGGAGCGGGGCTGTAGGGGAGGGGCGGTGGCTCTGGTCTCGAGGTGACGAGCAGTGGTGACAGTGGTGGCAGGGGCTTGGCACCCAGCTGGCCTGCAGGGAGTGTGGAGGGCTGGGAGTCCAGAGGGTGGCCAGGGGCAAGCTGGAGAGGGCCGGAGAGCTGCAGGGCCCGGCGGCCCGTGAGGCAGGCAGGCAGCCCCTCAGAAGCCTGGCCTTCAGCCGGCCTGCGGACGGGTCACTGTCGGGAGCAGAAGCAGAGCTGGCATCGCAGTGCAAGTCCTAAGGTGCCAGGTGGTTGAGGTGACCTTGGGACTGGCTGCCTATGGAGAGGAGAATCGGGGCAGGGGCCACTGAGAAAGTCGGGGACTCCTCAGTGAAGGACCCAGAGGAGACAGGAAGATGACTTAGGTTTGTAGGGTGTTTGAGCCGCCAGAAGGATGGAGCGGACAAGAAAGTGGATGGTGGGCGGCCGGGCCACTGGAGGGTGAGTGTGGGGCCCACGGCACGCACCCCTGATGGAGCCTCTTTAAAGCCGCCACCGCCTGGGGGTGGAGCGGAGGCTCTGAGGCTGAGCAGGTGCAGTGGGGGGGCGGCAGGGAGCCGGAGGGACAGGGCGCTCTGCCAGGGCAGGCCCAGCAAGGCTGAGGGTGGCGTAGGGGAGGCCTCTGGGGAGCCGCTGGAGGTATTGGCGAGAGTGGTTTTCCTGGAGAAGAGGAGTGACCTCGGGGGCAAGTGAAGGAGGGGAGTGGAGATGGCAGGCAGCACTTGGATTTGTGACTTTCCAGGAAGGAGTGTCAGGGCTGTAGCTGGGCTGTGGGCTTTGGTGTGGTGGGCGTGAGCATGCCCCTTGGTTGGGTGGGCGGGAAGGAACCTCAGAGTGTTATTTACACAGAAGTGGCGGGTTCTGCGTGTCTGTGGAGCCCCTGGGGTGACCAGGCGGGCTCCGGACGTTCAGGCACAGTGTGAATCACCTCTCAGGAGACCTTCCTCCCCGACTCTGGCAGCAGCTGGGTGAGGGCCGCGTGCTTCGTGCGCTTCACAGGCGAGCTCCTGGCAGCCCTGCGAGGTCTGGAGCTCCCTTTCCTTTTCTTTCCAGAAGCCAGATGGAGCTCTTACTGCCTGTCATCATTGGCTGCCCAAAATATTTGCACAAGCAAACTGCACTGCCCGGCCACGCCTGAGCAGGCAGACCCGGCCGGGTCCCTGGGCAGCACGTCCTGCTGCTCCCTGCTCCGTGGCCTGTCCTCAGGGTGTTCCCCGCCCCTGCTCCCGGCCCCCGCGGGCAACCCGAACAAGGCCATCTTCACTGTGGATGCCAAGACCTCGGAGGTATGTGCTCAGCTGAGTGATGAAGCCGTGGGTTTGGGGTCTGTGCCTTCGACCTGTAACCTCAAACAGGAATTTGTGCATTTTAAGTGCAATTAGAAAAACATCTAGTTTTACCTATATACTAACAAAAGAGATGAATTCGGAAACCTAAGTATGAATCAGTCAAAACAAATCGAATCCTGTCATCGAGATGAAGATTCGGGGCGAGGTTGCAGCCCGTTGTTTACTCGCGCTTGCTCTAGCGTTGGTTCCACTGAAGTCAGAATGCACGCTCCATATTTGAATTAAATGGGTTAGCGTGACGCGCATCTGTGTGCAAAGAACCGAAACTCGAGACGGGCAGGAAGCGTCGAGTAAATCCCAACTCTGCCTCCAAGTCTCGAGGACATGGCACACCCACCTTGGCAGGTGAGGGATGCGTGATGCCCTGACCCTCAGTCAGTTCTTATTTCCATACAGTGGAGACGCAGGAGGTCTCGAGGGCCGCACTGCTGTGACCTGCCCACAGGTGGCTGGGGAGAGGCTGGGTCTCTGGGCCTCCCTGGCTAGTGCCCGTGCCACCTTCTCCATTTCTGGGAGTCAGGGATGCTGCTGGTGATGCCAGCTCCTCCCCCTGCAACCCTCAGATCCTGGTTGCCAATGACAACGCTTGCCAGCTCCTGGGGTACAGCAGCCACGACCTGATTGGCCAGAAGCTCACGCAGTTCTTCCTGAAGCCGGACTCTGATGTCGTGGAGGCCCTCAGCGAGGAGCACTTGGAGGCCGACGGCCACGCTGCTGTCGTGTTCGGCACGGTGGTGAGTATGGGCCCGGGCCGGTGGCCAGCCCCGAGTGTGCTCCTGGGAGCCCGCTGAAGACGCGGCTGGTATGGTCAGCGTGGGTGCTGCCCTCCGCTCCGCGTAAGGCTGGGGAACAGCTGGGGGCGTCACCAGAACAGAGGCTGCGTGAGCTGGCCTTGCACGCTCCCCGCTCGAGGGAGGATCCTGGTAGCATTTGCAAACCTGCAGGGTGCCACAGCAGGTTCCCAAAAGACAAATGTGATTTACTGTCCTCACATCTAAATCCCACCTTGTGTTTGGTGGCGCTGGGCGGCTCGGGAGACCGGAAGAGTTCCCGGAGCTCTGATCCTCCTGCCGTGTGACGTGTTCAGCCCAGACGCTGACAGGCTGAGCTGCATGTTAGATGCTGAGCCCTGAGCTTCAGGAAGAAGTTAAATGGAACCCACTTCGTGCATCTGAGAAAGTCCCTGTCCAGGGGCCTGACTGCCGAGAGGGATTAAGAGTCACGTGTGTCATGTCTGTTTCTTTAAGAAACCAAAGAGACTGCTGATGATAAAACCTCTTAGAACATTCACTCAGATCGTAAAGCTCGGTGTCAGAAGCCTGGTCTGCACCTTGGTTAAATTCTATAACGTCAGGCAGGCGAGCAGCACCTGGCGGTGCCGCGGTGGGGGTGGGTGCGAGCCTGTCCCTGCCCACAGGTGGACGTGGTGAGCCGCGGCGCGGAGAAGATCCCAGTGTCCGTGTGGCTGAAGAGGGTGGAGCAAGAGCACCGCCTGTGCTGCGTGGTCGTGCTGGAGCCCGTGGAGAGGGTCTCGGCCTGGGTGGCTTTCCAGAGCGATGTGAGTTTGCATCCCGCTTCTCCCTGACCGCGCGCCTCCTCCGCCAGCGCGTGACAGAGTCTGTCCCCGCCGAGCGCCTTCGGGCAGAAAGAGAGTGCGAAGGTTCCGGGGGGTCAGCCCGCATCTGCTGAGCCCCTTAGTGTCCGTGTGCGTGCGAAGGGACCCAGCCTGCCCGTGTCCGTGCCTCACCCGTGAAATCGGGACTAATCGTAATCACTCAGGACTGCTTTACCGCCTCAGTGACATAACGAATGTGAAACCCGGGGGCGGCGGCTGGCAGACCGGCCGCGCTCACACGCGCGCCGTGGATGCGGTGGCCGCGCTCACACGTGCGCCGTGGATGCAGCGGCCGCACCTCTCGCTGACGCGCCGCCCGTGGGTGCTGGGCTTGCGCGGAACGCCTCCGGAAGCGATGCTTTTGGTCCGCCTGCGGGAGGAGGGCGTGGCGATGCGGTGGACGTTCGCGTGCCCCTCTTGCCCCCGACACCCGGCATGGGGGTGGTGTTGACGGTCTTGCTTGCAGCTCTGGGATGGTACTGAAGTGCGGTGGCCTTCGAAGCCGAAGTGCAAGGAACTTGTATCACGGTGCTTACCGCTGGGTTTTCCTCCAAGGGAGCCATAACGTCATGCGACAGTCTCTTTGCTCATCTGCACGGCTACGAGTCTGGGGAGGACGTGGTCGGGCAGCGCATCACAGACCTGATCCCGTCTGTGCAGCTCCCTCCGCCTGGAGAGCAAGTCCCCGTGGTAGGAGCCCCGAGCGCCTGCACCATCCGCCCCCAGGGCCTGCCCTGGTGGGCGCCCTGCCTGCCCTGGGGAGACTGAGGGAGGAGGGCAGAGGTGCGGGTAGCTGGGTGCCCTGGGGACCCCGGTGATGAGCGTGGCACACATTTCAAGCTTAAGCAGCGAAGACTCCACGCGGGAGCTGCGTGCGCGCTCAGTGGCATTCTTCTTTCATCCTGTTTCGATTCAGAGGTCTGTCGGAAGAG